TGGCCCGGGGGGGGGGGAATTTTCGGGGGGGGCCAAATTTCCTGTGACACCGGAATTATTAAGACAACTATAGCTCAATCGTTCATAATTAATTTTTTAATTAAAAAATGTCAAAGCCATTTCAACTCAACTGCAGTTCGGCATCGTTTTTATGTCACCCTGATAAAAGGCACAAGTATGTGATAAATATATTTATAATATAGCATTTGTAAATTCTAAACGCTGACTGGCTAAGAGCCTATGTTGATATTATATATAACTCAATGTCAATACGGAAAATTTCTTTCTTTATATACAGTTTCTTTGTGCTATATTGTGCTGATATAACTGCATATCAAGTTATTATCAACACGGAAAATGTTTTATATGTGTTAAATATATATCATTACAGGCCGGGAAAACATCGTAGTGACATCTTTGAAACAGACACATTTCCCATAAAGACACTATGCTTTGTTTCTTCGGCACTAATTCGTATTAGATAAACTCTAATTCGACTGTAATGCCATTCTCGTCACCAAAGCCATTTTCACTCGGTCACTCGTTGAAAATTAGGCTCTGCGTTAGACGACTAACAGGAGAGATCTGATTGGCTTCTCAGAAAACAGCTATTTCGCAGAAGTTAAACAGTTTTCGCTAGGCAAAATATTCCATCAACATATGTCAACGCAAATACTTCGTTTCTTCGTAATACTTCTCTGTGAAAATTGTTACGGGTGCCAAAGTGTCCCAATTCAAGAGCATGCGCTTTACAAACCACTGCGAGTTTTCTTGCACTTCCGGTTCCGTGTGTCCCAGGGCCTATGGAGGACGCGCGGCCGAGAGCGGGCCCTGGGGACGAGGATCCTGTAATGCACGTTCTTCAAATTTCTACGATTTCTATTTTTTAGGTGGATCACCATTACCGACCGCAAACATAATATCAAGCCATAACGTACCATCAATGGCGCGCTGTTTTATGCGCTGTTTTCAAGAATCACGTTGTGTCGGTTTTAACTATCGATGGAGTGAAGCTGGGGCTAACGAAACAAACTGCCAACTCAGCAACAACACCAAAGGAAGAATCGGGTTAAGAAATGAAGATGGAGAATGGGATTTTTATCAAGATATTGAGATGGTAGTGTATTACAACATATAGTTGATGAATTTCTGTTTGTACATGGAACTTTTGAGCAGAAGATTAATAATCAATCATATAAAATTTTAGACCTATACTGGTAAGAACAGTTGCTAAAAATGCAACTATGGGCTTTCTGGCAGGAAAGAACAGCAAATTCGACTGCACATTTTATCAGTATATTTCGTGTGTTGGTGAATAAGATGCTTGTGAAGTTGTGATGTTACTCTGAGTGTATATATCCACATCGGGCAGGCTTGAAAAATATGCCTGCCCACGGTGGGAATCGAACTACGACCTTTGGAATACTATCCCAATGCTCTGCCAACTGAGCTACGCGATCAGGTCGGTTCGAGTATTTGTGATATTTCGGAACTGAGTTATCACTACACAATTTCACTGTTATGTACGTATGATTGTACAAATTGGTTATCATGCATGCACTGCACACTAAACTTAGCTATGTAAATTAGTTGCTAAGTAACGTGTACTTTTTTCTAACTTGCAGACAAATAAAACCGGAAGATCAGATAATGAAGATGGAGAACAAATATTAACAGGTATTCCTTTTAATATATTTTGATTATTATAATTAATGAATTTATATATAATTAATATATTTGAACAATATGTCGATTTGTTGAGCATCACTTAATTTCTCGCGACTTTGATTAATACAGCTTGGACTAATCTAATCATTGTATTAAATGCTGTCCCCGTTTCCCTAACTAGCAAAATGTCCCTAAAGCAACTCGAGTCAGGGTCACCAAAGTACAAAATGTTTAGGACAACCACATTCCAATGACACGTGCACAGCATTGCGACAGAAAAACAACAGTCTTCCCAGTGGGTTGTACTTTATATCTCCAGGAGACCTCGCTTTGTCGCCGTTTCAAGTCCATTGTGACATGGAATCGAAGAATGGGATAGGAGTCATCGTGATTGGACACGATAGCGAATCAAGAACGAAAGTTGACAACTATGAAGATCCCGGATCTTACAGCAGAAAAATTCGATACAATACCACAATGCAACAGATTGTTGCCGTCATCAATCAATCCAAAAATTGCGAGCAGTTTATCAAGTACGAATGCTCGAACAGTCTCTTTTTACGCAGTTCATATGGATATTGGATTTCACGGCAAGACAGGAAAATGAATTACTGGGGTGGGGCCGCAGTGGACAGTGGGAAATGTGCCTGTGGAATGAACAATACGTGTGTTGGGGGCGGGAATTGTAATTGTGATGCGAATGAGGAACGTCTCCGGGAAGATAGCGGATTTCTGACTGACAAGAATACACTGCCTGTTGCTGAACTGAGGTTCGGGGATACTGGCATAACTGGGAGTGGATATGATGAGTATGGATATCACACTCTTGGAAAGTTGCTCTGTTGGGGATAAATGGCTGTATGAAATATACATTAGCAAGAATTATGACTTTATTATCTTTCCTAGTTTTTAAAACTACCATCAAACTAACTACCAGTACCCATACTGTTTATAGGTATTAAATGTCACTAAAAACCAGCAAAGTACCTCAGAAATGGAAATCCGCTAATTTATTACCACTCCCTAAAGAATCACCATTAAATTCGTGCAACCAGTTAAGACCAATCTCTCTGACGGACATCATCATGAGACTATTCGAGAAGTGCGTGTATAAATCTGAAATCGAACCTATCACAAGAAATAACATTGGTCCTGACCAATTTGCTTATAAAAAGGGTCACAACTCGACTATGGCTCTGATTAAATCCCAACATCAATGGCTAGCGTGGCTGGATAAAAACGCTAATTATGTTAGAGTGCTGTCGTTCGATTTCAGCAAAGCATTTGACAGTGTGCCCCACGATCTTTTGTTTGAAAAAGTTAAAAAGCTACCCATTAATCCGTATGTGGTGAACTGGTTAATCAGCTTTCTAGAAAATAGAATACAAAGAGTAATGGTTGATGGAATGGTTACAGAATATTTATATATTAATCGTGGTGTCCCTCAAGGTACTGTTTTAGGCCCAGTTCTTTTCTCAATAATGGTTGATGATATTAAAACTGCTGATCCTAGTAATGCGTTAGTCAAATTTGATGACGATTTGACGTTAGGAGTGCCCGGCAACGAAAGTGGTGACACATCTCGATCTGAAGCTGCCTGTTTACAGGATTGGGCGGAAGAGAATAGAATGCCCTTAAACTTGGAAAAAACGTACGAAATGGTTGTTCGCAGACACACCTCTGTAGTTTTGCCCGAGCTTATCCCTTCAATTAAGCGAAAAACATGGCTAAAGCTTTTAGGAGTTACTCTACAAGATGCAACTGGGATTTGCACTTTGAAGAAATGCTCAAAAAAGCAAGTGGACGAATGTACATTATGAGAGTTTGCAAATACTATGGACTATCAATTAAACAATTAGATCTGCTGTTTGATGGCCTAATTATGTCGATATTCACTTTTGCTATTGAGCTGTGGGGTTGTGCATACGACGGTAAATATTTGAACCAAATAGATAAATTCATTAAACGTGCACATAAGAATGGTTATATATCAAAACGAACACACATTAAAGAAATACGTGATAAGAGAGATAAGAAACTGTGGAACAAAATAACATCAACTGAGGACAATGCATTGCTTGAACTGCTGCCGGAAAAAAGAAGTAGGTTACTTAGGCCTAGAGGGCATGAGTATGAGCTCCCCCTAGTGAGAACAGAAAGATTCAAAAGGTCGTTCATAAATCGTTGTCTGTATAACTTTGTTTAGACTTTAATCTATTTAGACTTTAATCTATTAAAAAATTTTTAAAACTTTTTACGCTTCTTAACTTACAATTGTAAATATAACTAGATCAATTACCTTTCGATTGTAAACTCAGACGGATGTATCTGAGTATTTTAATAAAGACTATTATTATTATTATTATTATTATTATATATATATATATATATATATATATATATATATATATATATATATATATATATATATATATATATATATATATATATATACGAGTAGGTTTGTGTAAACGAAACGCAAAGAGTGCTCAATATCATAAAGATAGAGCAAATGTAGAATTTCGCTTACCTCAAAATTCCGCAACAGACTGTTTCATCAGTAAAGAATCATCAGGCGGTATGACAAGTTTCGAAAAATAGGGCTGCTTATTATGTGTTTTGGCCAGAACATGGATCCGAGGACACTATATGTAGACGAAATTGACTCTGAATTAAAAGACATTTCGAACAATTTAGGAATCGGCGACAGAATTGAAAAAATGAAAAAACGTGAAGCATTTATATCTTTAAAAGACCACAAAGAAAATTTCGAGAACAATCCAAAATGTCGGCTAATTAATCCCGCTAAAAGAGAATCAGGAAAATTGAGCAAAATTATTTTAGATAAAATTAACTCCAATTTGAGACAAAAACTGAATTTGAACCAGTGGAGAAATACAAAACAAGTAATTGAATGGTTTGGAAATATAAAAGACAAAGAAAGACATAGTTTTATTTCGTTTGATATCGTTGATTTTTACCCATTCATTTCGGAAAAGCTTTTGGACCAAGCATTATCTTGGGCTTCTAATTTAACTACCATTTCGGATAATGATATTTTGATCATAAAACACGCCAGAAAATCTCTGCTTTTCAACACCGGAAAACCATGGACTAAAAAAGATAGTGAAGGTTTGTTTGACGTTACCATGGGCAGCCACGATGGCGCCGAAATATGTGAATTAGTTGGCCTTTTCATCCTAAATCACCTAAGTAAGAAGTTTGGCGAAGAAAGCATCGGCCTATATAGAGACGACGGTTTGGCCCTTATAACTCCAATATTGGAAGAAAAGGGGTCCATACTACGTTCTTGGACTTCAAAAAAGCATTCGACCTTGTCGACCATAGAATTCTATTAATAAAATTAGCGGAAATGAATGTATCGAAGGCCTTCTGGTCATGGGTGAAGTGTTTCCTTGCAGAGCGGACTCAACATGTGAATTTACATGGTGTTATATCTTCAAGCGCCCCCTGTCCAGCTGCAGTCCCGCAAGGCTCCGTTATTTCTCCAACACTGTTCAATATTCATATCAATGATTTGGAAAACACGTTAACAAACAACCTTACAAACACGCACAAGTATGCAGACGACTGCACTCTTGATGAGGTCGTTGCAAACGGAGCCCTTTCAAATATGCAGGAATCGACTAATCAAGTGATGAATTGGGCCAATGATAATAAAATGATGGTGAACCCCCAAAAAACTAAGGACATGTGTTTTTCCCAATCCTCTTCTGAACCCCCACCTATACAAACGGATGGAATTGAAATAGAAAGAGTAAACTCCTTCAAACTTCTCGGTGTATGGGTGCAAAATGACTTAAAGTGGAATACCCATGTTTGTAAAATAACAAAAAGAGCAAATAAGCTATTATTCCTTCTCAGAGAGTGCAGGAAATCCTTCCTACCACCCGAGATTGGTTTATTAACATGTACGTCGAAGATCCGGCCAATACTTGAATACGCCTCTCCAGTTTGGGGCGGAATCCCTAAATATCTTGAAGCAGAAATTGAACGTGTTCAACAAAGAAGCTTGAAAAAACCCATGTAATCGTTTCCTATCTGGTAATAAGAATCACACTTACGAACTGAGAAGGACCAGAGACAGCACTCCAAGACAGCTCTCAAAAACACACAGGCATATAGTACGTCTTTTATCCCAAGGGCGTGTAGATTAACCAACTCATGAAATTAGATCATTGTACATATGTATATAATAACTTCTTAAACTTTCTAATTTTTACATTCTCATAGGTTATACATGTATTTTAGTATATATTTTTAACTTGTAAATCCATTGTATTTCTATATGCCAAAGATGGATATTTAACAATAAAATTTAAATTTAAATAAAAAGTAAATCGGCACGTTTAGCAGACAAAACAAGGAAAGAACTCCACAAAATTTTCGAGCTGTTTGACCTAAAAATCACCGCCGAATCAAATTTACGCATAGTAAACTTTTTAGATGTAACTTTCAATCTTAACAACGGAAAATATAGGCCCTATAGAAAGCCCAATGACGATCCGCTATACATAAATAGGTACTCTAACCATCCACGGATCCACCTAGCATTATAAGGCAGCTTCCTACATCAGTTAACAAGCGCATCGCAATGCTTTCATCAGATGAACAAACATTTATCGAATCTGCACCAGCATACCAAAACGCACTTGACCATAGCAACTTTAATCATGATCTTAACTACACTCAACACGCACCACAGCAAGCACGCAGAAATAGGCAACGTAATATCATTTGGTTCAACCCACCATTTAGCATGAATGTCAGCACTAATATAGGGCGTAATTTTCTTAACCTTATCGACAAGCACTTTCCTTCGCACCACAAGCTGCATAATATCTTTAACAGAAATACAGTAAAAGTAAGTTATCTATAATCACTAAGCACAATGCACATATAGCTACAGTACCGCTCAGAATTAACCTAACAAAAACCGCGGTTTAACCTCGGTTGAACCTCGGTTGAACCGCGGTGCGACCGCGGTGATTTAAAGGTTTGACCGAGGTTATACCGCAGTAATTTTCAGGTTAAACCGCGGTGACCGTGAGGTTTAACCGAGGTTTGACCGCAACCGAAC